TTTTTTTAGAACAATTGATCAATGTGTCGCAGGACTTTCTTTCCGACCTAATATATCTGTGTTCAGCAGGCCAAAACACCTTTGGCACGAATTTTCAGCCGAATTCGAGAATTTGACCCCTTTCAAAATTTTTGCTAAGGGCTGCGTGCATCATCTAAAATATTCGACCTGCTCGCGCTTATGGAGCTCTTCTTGAGAGAGTATCAAAAAACAGGATAAAAGCCCACCTGTGCTTCACCTTCTGTGGCCGACTTGACCAAGCGCACGCGACTTCGTTGCGTATTCTTTTTTTCGTTGTGCTGGCTGGCATATCTCACTTTTGTAAATGCGGTAAATAGGATCATCTATTGCTTCCAGCACTAGTACTGTTATGTGGTAGTTGTGTAAGGAGATCTAACTGGTACTATATGTTTTTGTGGCACCCAATGTTATTGAGAGGAGGCTTTATTTCTCCCCCATAGTGCTCTGTAACCGAGCCATAAGTTTCTGAATTTTCCCTGCCAGAACAGGCACGCAGCACGCTCAACTCCCCCCCCCGGCTAACATGTCTCCCTCTTCTCACTCGCTTATCCCCTGCTACCTTCAATTCGCTTTTTCTCGGTCTCCAAAGTCTTCTGGAACCGAACGTCAACTTTTTTCTAACACATAAGTATATAACGTTTGGGGAAAACGCTCCGTCCTTTATGCTCAGCATTCGTCAGACGTTCATATTCTCCAGCCTTCTTTTCGGCTTCCACACATTCAGGGCCCAACCATTGAACTTTTGCAACAATGCGGCATCGGTCCACTGCCCTGTTTCAAGGTTGAATCCAACTTTTTTGGCAGGACAAACAAACAGACAATTAAACAACTAGACAGACGTAGCAAGTTGTATAGAGTAGAAAATGGCATTGTCTGCCTTACCATCCCGTCACTTTTAACTGTTTTTCAATTCAAGCATTGTGGTATGAATCGAAAGGGAAAGCTTTGGAATTTTCGGTTCAAAAAAAAACCACCTCACACACATTATAATTAAGGAGTAGGTATTACTGAATCTTTCTTTACGATATTGGCGAGGACGCCCAAGTAGTTTTGTTGTTGAGTGTAAAGAATTGCAATGGCGTCCACTTAACAAGCCGTTTTCTGTTTTTCCATGTGAGCCTTGTCCAGAAGCTATTAACGTTTTCTCATAAGTTGCCACGTCTGTCTCCAGCACAACAACTTCGGTTCCCTTACATTCTCCCTTTGCATTCATTCTACGTAACCGCGCACACCTGTCTCTTGTTCCTGCTGAAACACCCTGTACCGTTCCCAGAGTTACCATTGAAGGTGCTTTTCTACATCAGTGTACTCGACAGACCTTACCGTATTACATAAGTTCTATTCAGATTCGTAAAATGAGGTTTGCACGACCACCGCCAAAACTCCCATCGGCGAGACGGTCCGAGATCGGTGCTAGCCTTGGAACAACACCACGCTCTTCTTTCGACCTTGTCGACGAAAGCCTTCTGAAAGGTATGTTATCACAATCATGATCGACACCAATTGATTTCCAGGAATCATTCGCTCACTGCATACGCAGGAGTCAATGGGGCACCCATCTCAAAGGTCCTACTCCTTGAGATCACCGTGAAGCGTCATAACTGCGGAGAAGAATTCGAATAGTCGTATCACCGAGCCATTGCCTTTCTAATTTCCTAAGGAGTGTAGCTTTTTTCCTACCGCGCACGACGAAACTTGGAGGTGGTATTCGCTCATGCGGTGTTAGGGTTGCGTTCGGCTCGAGAGCAGGTAGACATTTCTAAGTAATTCTCATTGGAGGGGTTAGTATTTATTCTAATGTAATGTTTTTGGAGATCAGGCCTTAATAGGCCTGGACCATTCTTCAGTCACATGCTTATAACCCTCTGCAGATTTTTAAGCCGTGCTTCCTAGAAGATGATTTATAATTCAGCAATATCGATTTCAGATTACTGACAGTGGCGTGGGGCAATAAGTTAAAGGCAGCGTCCGCGATCAACCAAAGTGAAAAAACCCTGCATTGAAAACGAAGGCGGAGTCCGCATCCACATCGGATATACCACTCTTTCGGCTCGAAATGTATTGAGGGCGGAGTCAACAACGCTAAGCTGACGCCGCCTGTCCTGTTAATCCCGCCCCGACTGGTTAACAGTTGTCAATCCTTGCTGGCATTGATAATCGCTAAATTTCTAGCGTTTGTTTCGTACACTGATAGAGAGATTAACTCATAGACAGATCGATTATCAATGCCAGCGTGGATTAATTAGATTAGATAAGATAACCTAGGTAGTGGCTCATGAGAATTAGCCGCAACGAGGCTGCGAAGTATTTTGGAGAACTCACCCAAAATCTGCGAAACTCGTCCAGATGCCTTAAATTCATAGGGTCTTATTTCATGTTCTTCCACACCTTTTTCCTACTTTTTTGATTAGTGCTTCATTGGCCACCTGTTCTAACAAATCTGACCCCTGAAACCTGCCAAAGTCCATCGCGGGCGCTGTCTTTAAAGGCAAAACCCTCGATTAATCGACATCTCAGATAGTGGGTTAGGGGGTTCCATATAGACGACAAGGAGTTTAGTATCTCAAGAGTGAAAAAAGCACAAAAATATGCCACCTGCCCTAGATAGAACCCCATGTTGATACCAACTTGAACCTGCCCAATATTAGGTTGTCCGGAAAGTTCTCAGCGTTTTGTGCACCTATTTTTTGTACATTCACTGCTGATTAAAAACTCATTCTGCCTTGCTTCTCAGTAGCACATCCTGTAGAGAATTTCTTGCGCTATCTGATGGTATAATTGCCGTTTCACCATTGATAAACCCCTTTTTTCAAGATTTTTTCAAGCATGTGAAAAGAGCACTTCGGACGATTTTTTTCTTCGACTATAAATTGGGGCAATCCGCAATCGAAACAGCTCAACAAATTAACCAGGTGTGGGGGCCCAATAGTGCTAGAGAAAGCACTGTGCGGCAATGGCTCAACAAATTTCGTTCTGGAGATTTCAGCCTTGAAGATGAACCTCATAGCGGTCGACCTAAAGCAATATCTGACGAGGATTTTAGGGGGATTTTGGAGGCTGACCCATCCCAAACAGTTCGAGAGATTGCAGAAAAGCTAGGCGTTGGCAAATCCACTGTTGCAGATGGTCTGGAACGCATTGGGAAGGTGAAAAAACTCGACTCGGCACGTCTCGAGGTTCCTTCTGCATTGCTTTTGCGCAGCAGAAACGACCTGTTTTTGGACCGAATTGTCACCTGTGATGAAAAATGGGTCATGTATGATAACAGGAGACGTTCCGGACAGTGGTTGGATTTCGACGAACCACCGAGGTAATTTTCAAAGCCGAACCCTCACGAAAAAAGATTCTGGTCACGGCTTGGTGGTCATCGGCTGGTGTGATCCACTATAACTTTTTATCACCAGGCCAAACCATCACAGCAGAACCCTACTGTGAAGAAATCGACGAATTGTACCGAAAATTTTGTCAGATGCAGCCAACACTTATCAAAAGAAAGGGTCCGATTCCTTTGCATGACAACGCCCGCCCACACGTTTCACAAATCACTATCCATAAATTGAACGAATTGGGGGTTGAAGTTCTACCTCAACCGCCATATTCTCCAGACCTTCCACCAACCGAATATTCCCTTTTCAAACATTTTCAGAACTTCCTTGCTGGGAAATACTTCATCAAACAGGACCAGGCAAAAAAGGAAAAGGACCAGGCAAGAAAGCCTTCGTGGATTTCGTGAATTTTCGACCACCCAGTTTTTTACTTTGATGGGATTTCTCGACTGCTGTCACATTGGCAAAAGTGTGCTGATTCGAATGGTGCCTATTTCGATTAAATCCGATGAGTATTAAAAAAGTTACGATCGTTTAAAGTGAAACACCCAAAACGCTGAGAACTTTCCGGACAACCTAATAATAACTCTATCTCCCACATTAAGCCCTCATACGCACAACTGATTCACCGATAAGAACTTTACGACCGTACAAGTGACAATTTTCATGCTTTTTCTAGGAACAAACTCGTTTTCACTGAAAGCCGGGCATTGGGGGCGGAGTCTGGAGGCGGAGTCACTGGAAAAAAGGAGGGACCACTGAACCTATATTGCGCTATAGCCCCTCCCTTAGAATTTTTTGCCGCGAAACCGGTACAAGGTTGTTCGTCGCGGACCACTCTAACCTCCTGACGCCATATTTTCAACTTCGATACCTGATCGCGGACCGTGCCTTTAAGCTTTCTTTCAAGGATTCAAGGCGCGCGAACGGATGGGCGTGGCTCAAGTGTCCCTTCCGAAGTTGACCTGCTGCCCCGGTCCCCTAGCCAGTGCGCACAGTGCCGTTAATTAAGACTGCACAGCTTTTTTGTCTGTTTGTTTTGTTGTGACAAGTTATTTACGCCTAAACTCTCGCATTCTGCTTATTTCAGATAGAAAGATATCCGTTGATGACAGCGGGATATCATCATGTGATTCCGAGAAAGGAACCACGCCCATGTACCGACATTCTCCGACTGAAAAGTTTGATCAGGTACTGTTTTCTGCATTTTTTCCATTTGTTTTGCTTCATAGAGGATTTTTCAGACTCAACAGTTCTCCTGCTCCGAATATATATGCGACGGCTGCGACTGGGTTCCTGAGGATTCAGGCAAATTCCCTCCTTTTTAGTTTTATCTTCGTTTTGTTATGCTGGACCTAGTTGTTCTCTATGAATCCACTAAATTTCCAGATACCTTCACGGAGTCCTCAACTCTTCACTCTGATGGTGCCACGCCCCACTCCCCTGTAGAGTGTACCAGTACGAGGACATTTGAGGACGCCGTCGATCACGAGTCGGACAGGAGCGGCACAGAACTACAAGAACTTTTCGTTATAAAACAGGAGATAGACTGCCTTCAGGCCGAATTAGAGGATATGAATGAGAACGATCTTCATGATTCGAACCTAGAATGTCATGGAGTAGATGATGGGATGTCCGGGGCAAGTGTGCACCCCTCTTTACCACCAATACATCCCGTGGAATACCTCAATCCGACCAGCTCCATCGTATGCAGTAAACGACTTGAAGAAACTCTCGCAAAGGATCGAGGTGGTCTACTAGAAATTCCAGAACGTTTGGATGGAAAATTAGGAAGAAGTGAGGAGCCTCGGTGAGTTCTTTAGTGTAAAATTGTCATAACATACATGGGTCATTGATTCTGAGATTGTTAGGTTCGCGTCAGAGTTGGTTTCCGAGCCAAATTTAGGCTGCGTTCAGACTCCGCAATTAGGCCTATCGATGCTTTATCATTCCAGTGACCCTCCACTGCTATAGGGAGCGCAGGTACAGATTGGCGCAGGCCGGAGGTTCGTTAGAGTATGGAGGAAGGGGTGGGAGGGTGTGGGAAAGTAACCGACAGCGTGGTTAGGCGTCGTAATACAGAGAGGAGCCGTCGCAGAATAACAATATTGCTATTCTATTACGCCTGATCACGCTGTCTAGCACGTTGCTGTTCTCCTATATTCTTCCAAAACGCAAGCGGCCGGCACCGGTCAATACTCGCCTGTGGTTGGCGCTCGTCTATACTATAGCATAAGGGTTCTGCTGCAGCCAGCGCGTCAACGTACTGCATCGCCGAGAACGAGCGCTACCTCAGAACAGTCGCTGATAACTTTTTTTGGGATTCGCAGCTCATTTCGGTCCCATTCGGATTGCGTAGTAGAATTGGGATGACCTATTTTGTTTTTGCAAGAGGTAGGTGAACCTTGATGCACTGGCCAAACAGTCCGTCTGTGAAACCCTTTTACAGTCTTGTTCGCATCGGATGATGCGGCATGTGAGCGTGCAAGCGACGAGACTGTATCATAGCTTTCATATCGTCGTTTTCCATTTTTCGACATTAACTCGCTTCATTGACTGGTGGGAAACGGGTTTGTGGAGGTGCCAGATACAGCCGCACTGCCGTACTGGCGTGCCCAACCATACGCAGCGAACAAGAGTGTATTTGATTACCAGTCAAAATTGTAGATTTGTTCAACGTGCAGTTTTATCTCCCTAAAAGAGCCCGTGAAGGAAAAATCGGCTCTAGAAGAAGGTTCTTGTTAGGCTTGTTCTCACGACATACATTCCGTATTCCGAAGATGGAGCGGGGGGGGGGGTAGAGTGGTGTGTAGCTGCATACTGCATTTGAACACGTGTAGGATGCGTTTTTCGTGGCATATTCCCTTTGAGACGACTGTTTTTTTTTCTCCGGTGATGGACAAAGATGCCATCAGAATTGTTCCAAAATGGTAATTTTCATCGGAAACACTGCAGCCACTATGTTCGGTGAAGCTTACAGCCACGTCTTCCCCCTCTCCGCCAGAGCACGGAGCAGTAAAACCTTTTAGCCCATGCGCCAGTAGAACGTGTCTTGCGGAACGGAAGCGCGCGAGGTAAGGCTTCATCGCTAACTCTCAACGCACTTAAGAAACACTGAAGGAATATTCTATCCTGGTTGTTCGGCATACTTCGTCGCCCTCTTTGGCGTGCGTTTTACTTCTGTGCGCTGTGGAGCAAGTGTATTTTCCCCTTACTCCACCCACAGCACGTAAAATACATACTAATATGACTGCGTGACGGGTGAATGTCACCAAAACGGGTGATGGAACGAGTGTAAAGTTGTGCGAAAATCGTACCGCTGATTGCTTTCAGATATGGCCGCTTACTCCTGACTACATCTGCGCCTGCTGCTTCCTTGAGAGAAATCATGGATTCCACATTGACAAGTCTGAAATCATTCCTGCACACGGGCAGAATAGTGCCCCACGAATCACAAAAGCGTGTCGATGTGGAGAATTCATTATGCATTGCCAAGGCGAATGAAAGGGAAATTTCTGCGAAAAGGCAGGACATGACTGCTCTCTCACAACATATGCGGAGGAGAAAGCCGAGAAGAAAGCGGAAACTCATCAGATCGCAATTTGGAAATGCACGGAAGAGGTCTATGCCTTCAGTCAACAGTGTGGAATCGGAGGAGGCGATGAACAGAAAATTAGGAGAAACTCGAAAAAGGACTATGTCAGTTGTGTCTACTACTTGTGATTCTTCTAAATCTTTCAAACTTGTAATCCGACGAGAAAAATCTTCTGAATTCTCCAGGGTTCCAATACTTGAACGTGAGGGAAGTCTCCTCTCAGTGAGCAGGTACGCATTCCGCCACCGTTCACTTTGCCGTGTTTGCTTTTTCAATTGCTGTTTCAATATAATTTCTAGCGCTGCGGAGACTTGCTATACGCATGCGAAACAGAATGGTCAACAACAACAACCAAGCTCGAGGTTGGCGGCTATGTCACTTCATTATTCCTCTCTCGGACATTATAATTCATTTTGTACACGGCCGCAAAGCACTAAAATGATGAGTTGAGAATTCGCCTAATGCAGTGTTATATAATTGTGAATGGGTGAAATTGCCAAAGAGTATGGGGTCCCCTATTGCTAGCAGAATCCGTGCTTGTCCTAAAGACACAGCCCACAGCACAAGATTGACGTGTGGGCGGAGACAGTTGGCAGTTCTGTTCTACTCACTGGTTCGCCTCTCCTTCTCACCATCAGAATCGCACATCAGTGTGGATGCCGCCCTCCATGACGTTTATGGAACTCGAATTCACACGTTCACGAGGTTTTGAAAGGCACGACTGGCATTCGAACTGGTGATTTGCTCGAATACTGTGACAAGATGGCGAATAACACAAAGAGGAGGGAAAGGGCACTAAATCCTCCCAGAAAACTCCGCTCAACCGCGCTTTTACTTGCATAAGGCGGCATAAGGCGAAGGAAGGGCGTGGTCGCACGAGTTCTCATTTTCCTTATCGCCTCATTCTAATCATTCCAATGGTCATAGTTCGCTGTGGAACAAGCGCACCATCAGGTAGCAATTAAAATAGAAGTTGGGCGTCGCCGTGGCCGGTGGGCGGAGTCGTGGTTCGGTCGCGAATGGGAGGCGCTTTCCTCTAGTATTTCTGAGCAGCGGACTTAAATCATCCTCAGTCCTCACAGCAAAACTACCACATCCAAAGAAGGCGACTGAACATAAAATGAATGCGGGGTGTGTCTTGAAAGGGGTGGAAACTTGCAACACTATGAGTGCGTGAACAAATGCAATAAAGCAATAGAGATGAGTGTGATAGGCAGTATACACTAGATGTCAAATTTAAACTTAAGGTCATTTCAGCTCATCGGAAAAAGTGCCTCTCCGCTCTCCTATCCGTATCAAGATTGCCCCACTGAAGGCGCCTTCAACAAGCTGTAAGTGAAAAACACTTTCCTTTTAGATGTTGTGACTACTAAAAGTACCAGTTATTGGTGATGCAGATAAGAAGTGACCAATTGTTTGGATTTTTTTTTGTTGGTGAAGTTCATGTTGAATGTAAAGATCGTACAAGTGCGGGTCTGGCTGGATTTTAATTCATCTTTTTAAATCATACGGGCTTAGCCGAAATCGGCTTGTATCAGGTTGCAAATCAGGACCCATCAACCTTTGAGGAACTTTTCACTCTCGTACAATCACCCTGCTTATCTGCTTCTGATTATAGCTTACATTTATTTCATTAGATGCCGGTTCGAGTTTGAGACATTAGGTAAGCACACGTTCCGTTATCCATTTTAGTGTTCTTTGCAGGTCCTTCGACCCTTGAAAAGGATTCGTACGACCGCGCGAAGTGGAAATCTGCTGAGTGAGTAGTTTCATGTAATACTGTACATCTATGCGCTGAAGGTCAGGCTTCATCCCTTCTATGGTCCCATGTTATTTTAACTTTCTTCAAGACTTTCCGGGCTGTGTCACTCACAGCCTGTCTCCTCCACGACCAAGGAAAATAATGAGATTACTGATTACCGGTATGAAAAATGTCGAACATGGTGCGGAGATCCCCTAAGAACGGCGGTCCGCAATGTGTTAACATACCTAACAATTACGCGTCGAGTAGATGAGGACTATTGCCTAAGAAGAGGGTGAACAAGCTCTGGTGTGAAATACTCCTCCAATTGTGCAGTAGAGGTTTCTCACGTTTTCCCCTCTCCCACCTTCTCTGCTCCATTTTGCTTATTTCCGGATATGATATGGTTTCGCAAAACACACATTTATCATCGCTACGCAACTTCAACTTCTTACGATTCTTTACCACGTCCTGACAAATTAATCCGGCTTGTTGACTGAAATTAGCTAAAAGACCTTCTCCCCCCCCTTCACCATCGAGACTTACAAACGTCCCGTTTCTTTCTCGCAAGTTAATGTTGACCGTTCTGCTTGCACATATATCTTCCAAGCCATTGGATTAGGAAGGCATCATTCACCTTTGATGATCCCATATTTTCTCGGAGTGGATTTGCCAGAGACTTGGAACCTTCTAGTTTGATTCTTTGGCACAAATACTGCATATGTTTGGCGCAAAAGCGCTTGGCGCGGATGCACCAAACGTGTGGTCCTCATATCGAGCGATTCTCAAGCAGTGGAGTCTTTAAGTGACTACTTCTTCCTAAGACAGAATGGGCAAACTGGTTTGCCAAGTGTTTAGTAAGACGAAACACACTGATTTCGATTCGTATTAACATATGTCCCATAGGATGGTTTCTACTAACCCACCTATCAGCTCGCGATTTTCATTCTTCCACTTATGACAGGCCGTGAAATGATGTTGTAGTAATGTTTTTAGTAACCACGTAAAACTGACCCTAGTCAATATTTGCTTCGGTCTGGTCGTGTGGGCGGAGTCAGGCCTGTTATTCTGCCTCTCCTTTTCGTGATAGCGAAGAGGAGTGACGTACCAACGTTGGCTGTTCATGCGGTCAGCGCGTGGACTGCCCCTAACGAAAATAAGAAATCATTTTGCATTCTTTGGCCTCATTCGTAATTGGCCGTAATACAAAGCGAAACAGATTCATTTTTGCAGGCAAACCTTATTTGTCGATGTCAACGAACCCTTTTTGAGGGTGGTGAAAACTGAGATCGACAGTGATAATGATATGGTCGGTGTTCATGAGGATATGAGGTGAGTTCAAATTACATATCAAAATTTAACAGCTCAGGGTGGTTGGCTCATGCTTTAACACACTGGAGACATAATAAGTCACCGGTAGCTTGTGCGCAAGTGTCCCCGTGTGACAGTAGGAACCACCAGTGGCTCATACCAATTTTCACTACATTTGGGTTGATGCCGTTGGCTTTTATAGATTGTTTTTTTTTGGTTTCTAATCATTTATGATAGATGAATTTCCAACAAGAGTAAGCAAAAAATAATTCCAACAAGAACAAGCAAAAAATAATATCATCTTTTCATGAGATGTTTTTTAACCGATAACGGAAATTTCCATCTAGCTACCTCAGAAAACTTGGGGAAAAATCCCACTAAGACCGAAATAAACACAGTATCACGGACACGTGAGGTCCTGATGACAATACAATATTTACATTCAGCACTGGCGCCACTAGATGCCCACAGGCACAAGTAAGGCTCGACAACCTTCTCTGCTTTACTTCAATCGATCCCTTTTCCCATTTGCTAGGGCGGCACTATGAGATTATTTTGTTAGGCAGCGTTCATACTTCGCGACAGCATCGGCGATCGCCGCGATCGTCGGTACGTGGCAGAGCGCGCCCCAACGCTATTATGGACCGCTCGCTTGATAAATAAGGAAATCCAACTTGTGAGACCTTCTTTTCTCTTAATAATGGCTACTAACTGATAACTTACGACTTTCTATACATAAGCGGATCTGGAATATGAGGTAAGGAGGTTTCACTTCTTTTTAGGTCGGGATAAGGCCAACTCCATTTCCTGGGTGAGCTTCTTTTGTTTCTTTTGTTTTTATTGTTTCAATTTATACAAGCGCCTTAAAAGTTCCTATCGTCTGAACTGTTCCAACTTCCAAAACATTTATAGTTTACAAGTCGAGTTCAAACAACGAAGAAAAAAAAAAAACTTAGAACCAAAACGCTAATTATTTTACGCAACATCAACAGGTGAAACTTATAACCTCATGTATAAGCTCGACGAATGAAAAAAGAAACAATAAAAACCTACCCTAAATGAAGCTCTCACGCTTTTTGCTCATTTCTATCCTGAATCAAGAAAGAAAATAGAAAACAAAAGCCATTAAGTTGGGTTCACCTTTCTTTGTGTCAAACCAAGCTTCAGTACCTAAGAAAATTGCAGTTAAAGGAAAAAAGCATGAAATTGAGTCGCTTCTTCCCAAAAGCCTTCGGAGCGCAAGTAATAGCGTTGGGGCGCGCTCTGCCATGTACCGACGATCGCGGCGATCGCCGCGATCGCCGCTGCTGTCGCGAAGTATGAACGCTGCCTCCAGACTGACTTTAACAATGTGATCTGTTCCTTTATGTGCGGCCTTACAAGACCACCAAGAAGGCCTTTTATGTGAACTATGTGGCCTTCTGTTTGGTTGAATAGCCCCACTCTCCCTGCACCATTTACATGTTGTTGGAGAGTTCTCGCCGAAATGAAGTCGATGACAAGTGTTCGAAGAGGGTACACCTTTGTCAGTGGGATGAACAGCTTTCTAAATGATAAGGAGAAAGTTTGTTATTGAAAGCGACGGAAAACGTTCGGAAGAATCTTTTCAAGATATCTACTTTCTATGTTGATCCATATTTTGACCATATATTGGTGGCTTATTTCAAACAACTTGTAAAGCGTGTTCCAGTACTTGGTGGACGCCCTATATACCAGCCATGTCGTTCACTCTTGCATCATCTTTTCGTTTCGTCTTGTTGCCGCTTATCTCGCGCTTTTCTTATACAGCGTATTTATTAAATAAGTAAGCTTTGAATAAGACTGAGCGGAGTGAATAAGTGAGCTTTTTCGGTACAGACACTTCTAGAATTGAATATGTGTGAACTGAGGCCACCGCTCACCTATTAAGAAGTCCGGAGGTGCGAGAGTTCCGTCTTCGTAGCATGGCAACGCTTGAAGAGGAAGCATTAGTTGAAAGCTTGAGGAAACTGATGGGTATTCGTTTTGTTGACACTTCTCATCCGTCATGGTTCCGAAAAAGGTGCGTTTCTTCATTTAACATAATGTTTTCAGGGTTTCGTCCCTCTTTCTGATTTTTTTTTGTCCCTTCTGTAAGGATGTGCTACGAATCAAGCAGTTTATCTGGGGGAGCTTGTGCGTGGCTTGGAGACGGAAGCGGGATAGCGGCTCCAGTATCATTGATGGAAGGTGTTGGGGGTCACACACTCCAGCGGTCTTAGGAGGGGAGGGGGGGCAGGGGTGCTCCAACGCCTTTCCACCGATGGCAGTGCAGAGTTTGTCACGCCTCCCAGCCAACGCTCCGACTTCCTCCATCTAACTTAATCCTGACGTTTTCTAGATATGTTCAAAGTTACAAAATTCTTCAAATGTCTTATAAGCTGAGCGCAGCCAAAAGGTTTCAGGCATACCAATATACACTCATGCTGATTGAGCAGAATAGTAACACCCAGGAACTCATGCTTGACTTGGAGAATTTCCGTAGATACAGAGAAGAGGAGCTTTCCCGCCTCAAACGACAGCTGGAACATGCTAGAAGGAGTGCTACAGTTTCAGAAGAACAACAGTGGTAAGAATGTACTTCATTGAGCAATATATCTCGATTATTGCTACCATTCGATTAAAGCAACCCGAACTAACGTAGCAAAGTTTTTTTGAGACATGTTTTGATTACCTGACTTGCTTCTGTCATTATATTGTTAATACTGCTGTATTTACTTCTTGGGGTTTTTCGATGGAATAATTTACTCAGTGGCCATCCTAATTTTTTTGAAACCCCTTGTCTTCTAGAAACAAATAACAAGTTTCCAAGTTTCAGTCGCGCGGATGCTACAGCTGGACTTCTTCCTAAACATCCTCGCTCTGTCAGCGGGTCGAGATACGAAAGTGAAGACATGGGTAAGCTCCCAATCTTTTTTTTCCTTTTCTCCCGCTTGAAACTCAGGAGGGCTTTTTTTATCCTGTAAACAGAACAGGTTTGAATGCTATTGAAGTCGATTGCATCCAATAGCGACTTATACGAGAGGAGTCAAACTAAAGAATTATTGGCAGCAGGGCGAGGGCGCGTGAGTCACTACACTGATGTTACCCCAACGGTAGGCGGTACGTTGATGTTTCCCCAACGGGAGGTGGCAGTCTTATCAAGCCTTGCAGCGGTATGCCACATTGATTTTGGCCGTTTCAGGCGCACTATATCGTTCAGCGCTCCAAGTTGAGGGGGAATTAGGTATTTGAATGGGAATTTTTCTAGACTTTAAACGCCAGGGTTGCCCCCGACGCTACCTGTTTGGAAAAGGTCTGGTTTCTGATAGAGTTTCACTGCTCATAACAATCAGTCGCGTATTTCTTACCAGTCGGATCACCCGGCTGCCGCCGGGTGCTCCTCCTCCTGTTTCACGGCCTCGGCGAAGCCGGGCCGACCTGGCTTTGCCAGGCACTCTTCCCTTGGGCGAGATTGAATGCGCTAAACGTGCCTAAGGGTGAGTTTTTTAATCGAAATGTAAGAAAACGAGTTGAAAAAAAGCTCAACAACAGTCATTATCTATCGACATCTAGTCCCCCCTATCTTACTACAGACTCAACCGTGAGAAGTTTGCACCATATCATTAAGGACCGCAGTTGCGATATCAGAATGGGTAAAGTTGAACCAGTTCGCATGAAGAGTTGAGTTGAGCCTCTTCCGGGTGATAACACCACCCGGAAGAGGCTCAACTCAACTCTTCATGCGAACTGGTTCAA